CATTGCACGTGCTCTGCGCAGCTCCGTGACACGCTGCATACTCCCACCTGCTCCAGGTCGTCTCACAGGGCCTCCTCACAGGACCTTCACCAGGATGCGTGCCCACAACCTCACTGCCGTCCTCGGGAACGGCCTGTTTTACCAGGATGGTTTGGCCTCCCCTTGAGCCGGCCTGGTCTATTCTTTCTCCACCACCCTCCGGAGGGTTTTTCGCTTTAGGTCTCTGCCATAGGGTGTGTGCACTTGCCAGAGAGACAGGGAAGGTGAGAAATCACTTCCTGGATGCGGTGGTCATGGTGCGGTCCTTTCTCCTCTATCCTCTCAGGGTTGTGGGGCATGCACATACATGTACCCAGAGTGATTTTTAAGCCACGGGGTCTGGTCTTCAAACCCCAGTTGGCCAGGTGGGAGCCCAGAGCTTTAACCACGATGCTGCCTGCTGGCCAGCACCCTTTGGAGGATTCAGCAGCCACACAGCTGAGTCTGTGGTCTCGCAGCTGCAGGCCTATGCTCCCCCCCGTCCGCCAACGCCAGGTGCACACCTGTCAACACCTCCATCCCGAGGCCCTGAATGACGGCCCTGAAGGCTGCTCTGGCCCTCTTGTCCCCTGCACCATCTTGCCAGGCTCTCTCTCTCAACCCGAGGGACCCGCCCCGGTCAAAGCTGCAGGGTCGGCTCTACCAAAGCAGTGCCCTCTCCCAGCCTGGGGCGCACCCTCCTGCCGGCCACACCTGCCAGTCACAGCCCGCCTGTGCTGGCCTCCCTTGCTGTCACTCCTGGTCAAGGTCTGAGCTTGGGAAGTCCTGTGGGTTCCTGAGGCCTGGTTCCTCCCTGCTGCTCGGTAGGGCCCTCCTAGGGAGCCTTCTCTCCTCCAGGTCCCCCTCTTTCCCCCACTCTCCTCTTGGGATTTTGGGCACACATGAACATGCGCCTAGCATGTTTCTTGAGCAGCCAGGTCTGAGACTTGAACCGCAGTCAGCTACATGGGATCTAGCTGCCTTCACACCACACCCGTTTGGCCCCTGAGCTCTTATTAACCTGAAAAGATCATGACCTGACAGGACCCAGTGCAATCGGCACGCTCCCCACGGCGGGCGTGGTTGTCAGCGCTCACGGCCACGACCCCTCCGGTGAAGGAGTTTCCCGAGCGGTGCCCCGGCCTCCCGGACAGCACGTGCTCGGCGAGCCCCCTGGGACCAGTCCTCCCCTACTCCGGGACGCCTCAGTCCCTCTCTGCAGCTCCACCTCTCCACTGCCTCCTGAGAGCTGTATCAGCATTCTATTAGATTCTCTTTGCAATCGCTTTCTTTAGTGAATGAATGGGAACCATGTGTTAGAGGGAGCGTGTGCTCCCTGGGCGGTGGGGAGTGAGGGCGCTCCCCACGGAGGACGGCCGTGCTCAACCCCTGCCCCATCCCCCTCTCCATTTGGGATTTCGGGCACACACATGTGCCTGGCATGTCCTCCAAGCCGCGGGCACACACATGTGCCTGGCATGTCCTCCAAGCCGCCACACCCAGGACTCCAACTCCTTAGTAGGCAACCCTAGCCACCAACTCACCAGCTGGCCCTCCCTCCCCTCTGAAACGAAAGGCCTCTGTTATTTAAAAACTGAAGCCCAAGACTCCATCTGCTGCCGCCTGGTTCCCTCCTCCCTTCAGGACTGAGCTTCTGGGCAGGGCCGGCAGCAGGGCTGTCCTCTCTCTCCGCCAAGAGATCCCTGCAACAGCGCAGAG